ATGATGATGAATGTAGTTCTTACCGAGGATCACATTAATTTTGTTTAAAGCCCTGAGCTAGAGGAAATGGCTACATATAGATGGAATCCTATTGTCCTTCTTTATGAGAACAACCAGGATCCACCGACCGCTGTGGAGACATGCTGCCATGATGGAGACAGAAAACTCCCCTGACTCATAGGACCAGGCTCCAGCGCTACAGATGTGATTTTTCTTGTGCACCACTTTATTCTTTGTGTTCTCTTCCAGTACCTTTAAAAAGAGAAATCCTTTACCAAAAAAACAAAACAACAAACGACAAGCATCATCTTTAAAAAGGGGATGAACAAAAAACACTACAGCAAAAAGAATCCAGCTAATATGAAATGGTTAAGGGGACACTCATGGACCAAGCACTCCATTTTACCATTTTTCCATCTGGTAAAGTTACAACCATTCCCACTGCTGACTGATTTTGTGCTGCAGGAAGAAGTCAGTCTGTGTTTACCTAAGAGCCTCTAAGTACCCGAGTAAAGACTCAAACTCTGCAATGCAGACTTTAAAAGCTCCTGGGGGGGGGGGAATGTTTAAATGTAGCACATGGGTGAACTTTGAAGAATCACGGCAGGTATCAGAAGATGAAGAGGTTTTAAAGTCACACCTGGTGTCAGTCCTTCTCCTGCTAGACATTGGCTTGGTGATCATGGCTAAGTCAGTTTCCCTCTCTTCGCCTTCATTTTTGTATCTGTAAAACAGAAACAAGGATGCACACTTCTTTCTGTTGTCAGGACTGAATCAAGCAAAGGCATGCTAATCTTGTGCCATGTTTCTAAATATACACTCTCCAAGTCTCTTTCCTATTGTTTTTCAATTTTTAATTGCTTTTTTGAGATTAAAATATAATTACATTGTTTCTCTCTTACCTTTCCTCCCTCCAACACCTTCTGTGTCTTCCCCTTGCTCCTTCTCTAAGTCATAGTCTCTTTTTCTTTTTCTTTAATATATATATTATGCACATATATATATGCACAAATATATAAATGCAACTTTCTCAGTATGTTTTCTGTTTCTTGTATGTATATTATTTCAGGGTTGATCTTTTTTATGTCAGATAACCAATTAGGGGCTCATCTCTGGGAGAAGACTATTTTTCCTGGTCTTAGTATATCTTAGTTTCCTATAGCTTTTTGTCTAGAAGTAAGGCCATGGAAATTTCCTTCTTGCACATTGGAATGTCTTCTGGTAGTTTGCCGGGGTTCGGCCTGTATCAGTCCTACGCTACAGGGGTCATCTACCCTGGACTGATGTCTTTGGGGCTGTGTTTGGAACCAGTCGAACAGCCCTGGGTCTGACCCTGAGTGGGGGAGTGTGGATCAGGAAAGTCCTAGCTACCCAATGATGTTAAAAATGAGACAGAGATGTCTTGTCATTTCAAGAGGGCTCTCAGTCCATACTGGAGACAGTGGTTTATTCAAGCTTCCTCTTAAATAGCTTTCTAAAAGCAGGGTGGGCAGGTGGGGGTGTCCTTGGGAGAAGACATCTATTATCATGTATATAGGGCTGACTTGGAAACACTTCCTTTAATCCTAGAGATGGTCGTAGAATGCAAGTCCACAAACTCTCAGAACTCCCGTAAGTAACACAAGTCTCAAACTCGTTCTTGACTGTATAGTAACTCTGAGGGCAGTGTGAGATACGTGTGACCCTGTCTCAAGCAAACAAAAAGAAAGAAAAAAGAAAAACAAATTAAGGGAAGAAAAATAACCAAACAGTTTTATATGTATAACTGGAAGGACTTAAAATCAGCAAAATGGAAAAATTTCAAGAAAAACCAGACATGATGGCTTGTTTCTCTAATCCCAGCACTAGGGAGTCTGAAACAAGAGAATCACCAAGAGCTTGAGACCAGCCTGGGCTACATAGTGAGTTTCAGGATGGCCTGAGCTGTAAAGTAAGGTTATTAAGAAAGAAAGGAAGAAAAGAGCAAGGAGAGAAAATAAGTAAGCAATAGGAAAAATTACCAACGAAACTAAGGGCTAACCTTTCTAATAGAGTTTTTTTTTGTTTGCTTTTTAAATAAACTTGTACCAACAACATTTACAAAGAATAAAAATATAGGACCAGGTGATAGTGGCATACACCTTTAATCCCAGCACTTGAGAGGCAGAGGCAGCTGAATCTCTATGAGTTCAAGGCCAGCCTGGTCTACAGAGCGAGTTCCAGAACTGCTAAAGCTACACAGAGAAACTCTATCTCAAATCCCCCTCCCCATCAAAAGCCCAATTTACATCAACCATATAGGCTTCAGTGAAAGTGATAGTGAAACCCATGGAAAATTAAACAGCTAATGCTGTCAACTAGCTGAGAAGGAGAAAACACATATAATAATGTTGATCGATACAGAAAAGTATCAAAACTCAGAAGTCACTCTTGGTAAAACAGAGGAAGAACTGTTAGCAAAGTATGAACAGAAGCACTGTATTTAACAATAATAGAGCACTGATGACCTGTGGTCATTTGAATGAGAATGATCCCCATAGGCTCATATGTTTGGAGGTTTGGTCTGCTGTTTGTAGAACTGTTTGGGAAGGATTAGGAGGTGTGACCTCCCTCCCTCCCTCCCTCCCTTCCTCCTTCCCTCCCTCCCTTCCTCCTTCCTTGTTTTTGATGTTTTTGGATTAGATATAAACTCTCAGCTACTGCTCCAGCACTATGCCTGCCTAACACCATGCTTCCTACCATGATGGCCATGCAATTACCCTTGAAACTGTAAGCAAGACCTCAATTAAATGCTTTCTTTTATAAGTCCCTTGGTGATGGTGTCTCTTCACAGCAATAGAACAGTGACTAGGACATGGCCTAAGGTATATAAAGGTTCTGGCCTAGCAACTTCTACTGCTTTTATTTAGTGATGTCTTAAGTGTCCTACCCAGTAGAATAGGTAAGAAATTAAAGGAGAAAAACTGAATTTAACTGTATGTAGAAAATCTGATTTAAAATAAAAACAGAAGCAAAAACTACTGGAATTAATAAGTTTAATCAAGTTGTGCAATATGAAGCTACCCCCAAGAGTTATTTCTTTATATCAGCAATAAACAATTGGAAATTAGAATTCCAAAATTTTTTTGTTTACAATAGCATCATAAATTGCTAAGCACTTCCAAATATATTTAAAAATATATGCAAATTTCCCATGTTGAAAGCTATAAAATATTCATGTGAGAAATTAAAGAGTACTTAAGTTAATGAAGATATAGATGTTTGCAAGTTGGAGGATTCAGTGTTGTCCACATATCAATTCTCTTTAAGTTGATCAGTGAGCAAACTAACAGGAGAAAAAGAAATTGTTCAGTTGGCTCAAGGCACTCTCAGTTCTAAAACTAAGGTTTTAAAATCATGACAAGCTAACTCTGAAGTCCACGTGGAAAACATAACTAATCCCTCCCTCACCAAAAATAGGAGAGCTAAGCAAAGTTTGAAACAAAAGGGAATAAAGCTTGAAGACTTGTTTTACTTAAACTAGATGGTCATCAACACTTACTAAATAGGGAAATGGTTTGTGGTGTTGTCCCTACAACTGAACACAACTCAAGAATAAAAGAGGAATAAAGTCTGGATATGGGTAACAAAAGTGTTGAATTTTAAAGACATGTTGAGCGAAGGAAGTCAAGCATGAAGAAGCCTGTACCACATAACACCAGTTACATGCAGTGCTGGAAAAGATGCACACAGTATGTAGGGGCAGAAAATATCTCAGAGGGGCTGGCAAGATGCTTCTGGAAGCAAAGCTGCTTGCTGGCACTCTCAGTGACCGGAACCTGATTCCCTGGACACACACATGGCAGAAGGAGAGAGAAGACTTTGACAAGCTGTCACTGACCTCCTCACCAATACTTCAACAAGATACACAAAAATATAACAAAACTTTAAAAAAGACCTCACTTGACAAAATGGGGGCCAGTTTGGAGGTTAACTTTTGGGGTACAATGATTATCTCTCTCGTTAATGGCTACCTAGATGTTCATATTGTTCAAGACACACCAAACATGGCACAATATGCTGAATGCAAATTTAAACGGCTAAAAACAGAAGGAAAGTGGAGTAATGGACTTTCTAAACAGGCAAACTTTGGGGAATACACGGTGTGAACTGATATTAGTTCGAGAGCTGTTAAAAAAAAAACCTGCCGTATGTATCAGTCACTTTGAGGCTTATCTGTCCTGTTCGTCGTAGTTCTGATTCCAGGCTAGGAGGGTCCGAGCTCTGGCTCAGTGCAGGGGCTGCTTGTGAGCAGGGCCTAGATGTCCTTCCCACTCGGACTATAGTGCTTGCGGCAAAAGTACCCTTCCAAAGATAAGTGAAGGTAATAAATACCTAGTTAACTAACTAGACAGAAAGTGAGAAGGACAGACGAGAGACAGACAGACAGACAGACAGACAGACAGGCAGGCAGGCAGACAAGCAACCATCCAGCTCACAACAAATGGCCCAGTGATTCCAGTGAAGGGTAAAGACAATGGGCACAGGTGCAGTTCAAACATTTTCACTTCGTTTCAGTTTGAATTCATTCAACACAATCTGGAGTTCTGATTATCGGTGAAGAAGATAAACTCGCACGCCCGGGGAACTTGGAGGCTTTTCTGGAAAGAGCTTCTGTTACTCGAGGAAGAGAAGCCTCGAAGGAGAAGGTGCTCTGGCTGCCTGTCTTTGAGAATGGGACCATCGGCTGCTTTCCTGTGTGTTTGGAAGTTAGCAGAATTAGGAAACTACTGCCTAACTACTAGGAAACTTTGTATGGTCCTGGGGTTGTTGGGATGCTGTGGAGTTCTTCAGTCTGGAGGGGGAAAGTGGGAGGCGGAGCCGGCGTGTTTCAGGTCTATCCCCGGGTCTCCCGGGCCTCCTGGGTGGTCGGCAGAGGGAGCTATTCCCCAAGAAATCGCCGCGCACGGGGACCAGGAGGCGACCCGCTGGGAGTTCAGAGATGGGGGAATCTGTCCTTCCGCCCGCACCTCAAGGCTGGCGGGTCAACCTCCAATCGCCTCCTCCCTCCCCACCTTCCCAGTGTCTTAGCTGTGGCTCCACGCACCGTGGCTTGGCCTGGTCCCCATCCCTTCTCGGTCCACTTTTGCGCTCCCTCACACGGGGGGCGCGCTGTCCCGTCCACTTGGCGGGCACTGACTTTGTACCTCAGATTCTTAAAGGAGGTCTAGATTTCTGCTCCTGGGGTACTTTGACGAGGGGTTAACACTGGCACCGTACCGGGCATCGCACGCCACTGCCACTATTACTTGTTTCAAGTCCCGTGGTGACTCCAAGTTTGCCAACTTCAAGACTGGGTCTCTGAAGGGCTTCCAGGAGTCCAGCCAGAAGGAGACTACAGGTTTGGAGGGACTGCGAGCGAGTGACACCCCCTCCCCCCGCGCCGCCTCCCCAGAGGCCACTGTCCCAGAGGCAGCAGCTGCAGCAGCGGCAACTGCTGGCATCCCATCCCGGCTCCGGTTACTGTCTTCCTCCTCCAGCATCTCCAGCCAGACAGGGAAAAGCTTGTTCAAGTTTGCAGCAGGACATGGTCCCTGTGTGAATCTGGGGCTCCAGGACCGGTCTCCTTCCCGGGGCCCCATCTTCCGAGCCTAACCAAGAGCTGCAAACATCGCTTTCTCCTGGGACTCTGCTTGGAGGCCAGTGGCGCTGTGGGGAACAGATTTTGAATCTGGGCTGGAGTGGGTGAAGACCGGAGGAAAGCAGGCTGCCTTGCCAATCACAGCATCATCTCAAAACCCGGTAAGAGTTATGCAAACTCAACTATGGAGGGCATTGGGCTTGGCGTCTGCTGGGGCCTTTTGGGGGGCACGTTTCCCCTTAGCCAGGGTACCTTGGTGCAACGAAAGCCGGACTCTGATGGCTTGCCTGCTTCCCAGGGGTTTATTGTGGTTGTTTGTGTTTGGTTTTGTTAGCTGAGTCTGCAGGGAATTCCAGGGAATATCTCTTCTTTATGCATTTTATTTTGGGTGTTTTGCGCCTCTGTGTTGCTTTGCCTGTGTTTGCTCCATGCTGATCGTGACATCGGTGTGAACAGGGAGATTTAGGGGACATCTGAGAATGAGATGCAGCTTCGGCCGGGCCTTCCTCTGAGGTCTGCCTAGTACAATTCTGGGATCCTAACTTGTTTCCTAAACTTTTCTTTCTCTAGTACTTGATATTCAGATTGTGTTTGCGGGCTGGGGCTCTCTTCCTGCCTTCAGGGGTGTCAGAGTCCAGGGAAGTTCACAGAACTTAGGGTCCTTGTCACAATGCTCGGGTCCTTGGAGAGCACTGAAAGCTACAGTTCTTCCAGCCACACTTATTTATTTGAGGGAAATGTGCCCCCGTCGGTCATTTTCTTTTAAATCTCTTCACTCTAGGACGTTCACACACCCAGTTTGGAACTTTTTTTGTCTTATTTTTTTCTTTTTGGAAGTATTTTCCTGAATGATCCTTCTGAATAAAAGAAACAGGGGAAGCGTATCTGCTGTTTCTTTCCCACATAACCTCACACAAATCCCCGCATTTCTAAAGGAGACAGTGAAAGCCTGGAATTTTCTTGGCCTGAATGAGGCATCATTTCTGCTATTGGACAACAATAGCCATGCTGTGCCGAGGCAGAGAATGGCATCCTTGGTTTCTTTATGCTAGGTCTTACTCTGTATATAGTATTCTCAAATAAAACCTTTCATTCCTGTGCATTACGGGTAAAAAGAGCAGGCCACATGACATTATCCAGAAATGCTCTCAGCCTGACTGGCATGCTCCAAGGAGTCAGCTTACCTGGTGCTTTGGTTTTGCTTACAAGGCCAAGGAATTCCTTTAGTAAACTAGGGTGATCCAGGTTCAAGGCCCCATTCTGATACTTTGCAGTTGTGTGGTTTGGTGTAGCTTACTAATACACCTTTATGTAGGTCTATAATATCAGGGCACAATAATAGTGCTTATTCTAGAGATAAAGGAGTTAGTGCATGGGAAGTTCCACACAGAGGAGGGGCTAGTTATTACTATTATCATCTTGTTGTTGAGTCAGCATTAATGGTTGCGTTGTTTTCATTGTCCTCTTTGTTAGCTATCAGCAAGTGTTAGTTGATACTGCTATTGAGGACTTTGATGACTGATCTCATCTTCAGGCTTCACCACTGCCTAGGGTATGATGGTTTGCTCAGCTTAGTTCACGAATGTCTTGGCAGTGTTTTCTGTTTGGCACTTTCAGTAGAAAGGAAGGTGTGTGTGGTGGGGCTGGGTTCTGAAAAGCTGGTTCATGATTGGATGCCACAGGGTGTGCAAAGTGACAGCCTGTAACTTCCTTAGAAACCTTTTGCATTGGCATAGTTTCTTTATCCTACTTTTTAGAGGCCAATCATTCATTAAGTAGACATTTATGAAGCATCTACTACATTTCAATGGGGTTTACACTAATTTCTCTGGCTTTACTTTCAAAATGAGTATGTGTAGTTGCTTGATGATCCTCTCTGCCCTACTTCATTTTAAGTATGCCAACCCTGTCTTCATGGGGCAGTAGCCCTATATAAAGCAAATCCCAAACACTGTAGCCACAAATCCCAACTCCTGATTAAGGACACACGCAAGCTCATAACACTGAGAATTTCAACAAAGTTTTCAGTGTGACCTCAGACAGGCTGCTTCTCTCTTTTGACATCAGTTTTATGGTGTATGAGTTTGGATGTGGAGGGGAGGGGAAGGGAAACAGCCTTGGCCTTCCTTGTGGTTCGAAAAGCCCTTATATGAGTTACTTTACTTCATTGCTGGCTGTGTTTGACCCCCTTTTTCCATTTTTAGCATTTGTTTGGGGTGCATAATAATGATAATAGGAAAGGGAAATACATTAAGTCTGCTTGTATTCCATCAGCTACCTTCAGACTTGGGTACATCAGAAGCATGGAGGAAATTTGTTTAAAAACATTAGATTCTTTTTTACCATGAAAAATTACCAAGACTTGACCATTTATTTTTTATCTAAACAAATTACAGTTTCTTATGGTTCCTATTGTGTGTAACCTCGGTCCCTCCCTGACTCATGAAGTCTTGGGTGAAGTCGACCACATCTATAAAATTCGAGGTGATGCCAGGGCCACTTGTTCATTGTATAGCAGTGGGTTCTGCCTCTTCAGACTGTTGCTTCAGTCTGACGAGACATTTCTAAAATACAAATCTGATCACGTGATGCCATTGCTTAAGTGCTTGGCAGATCACTAGGTGGGGACGGACCATCAGCATCTTGTATGCGCTTGTTGAAAATGCAGTCCCCACATCAGGGTTGGAGGAGTACCAAGTTCTCGCACAAAGCCCCAGCCAGCCTCATTACTGTCCTCCAAAGACCACTCTGCACCCTCTCCTGTGCTGTTCTCCTCTCCTGCTTCCCAGCCCTCCAGTCCCTGAGGATCTCATTATGTCCCCAAATACACGGCACCCATTCCTTTCTTCATGGCCTCACTGTGTGGATGGTTCTTTCTGTTAGAAATGTCTGTAGCCTTCTTTTCTGTGTAAGCAGCTGCCTGTTATCCATTTATCTTTGACGATGCAGCTCAAGTCAGACTTCCCCTCTGATCTTTCTGTTTCCCATGAGCAGTTCGTATCACGTGAGTTGCCATTCATCTCTGTGGACATCTTTTTGGTTTCCTTGTTATCTGAATGATGTTCCCAGCAGGTTGGTGAGTTCATCATTCCTTGATGAACTACCTTACTCAGGTGACTGGAGTATAGAAGTTACATAATAAATGCCCCCACAAAAGTGTGGGAGAAGAATGAATGAATGAATGGACACCAGCTGGTGGTTTCCTGTGGCACAAATGCTAGTGCTCATTCTTACGTATCTGTTAAGAGTGGTGCAGAAGTCAGCCCAGAATTTACTACTTGCCTATATGATCTACAAAGTAATAGGGAAGAAAACACTCTATTCCAGTGCTTCTCAAGCTTCCTAAGGTTGCCACCCTTTAAAACAGTTCCTCATGTTGCGGTGACCCCACCATAAAATTATTTCATTGCTACTTCCTATCTGCAATTTTGCTGCTGTTAGGAATCGTTGTATAAATATTTGAGATGCAGAATATCTGATATGCAACCCCCAAAGGGATCACGTCCCATAGGTTGAGAACTACTGCTCTAGACTGTCCTAAGTGGGCTCACAAAACACCACATAATACTAAATTCATGCTTACACGCTCAACCCCACAGTAGGTGCTATGTGTGACAGCGAGATACAATGAGACTTTGGGATGATTTTGCTTGTGATCAGCAGTGTCCTGGTGCCTCATACTTTTCAGTGTATAAGGCACCCTGGCATATGTGTGATAACTGCTTCAGTACTGTCTTTCTTAGTTGCCCACAAGGACACATTCCTGAAAGAGGATAAACTCCAGGGCCGGGGCTGTGGGATATGAGGGATGCGGGCTGCAAAACGCCGTAACTCTCTGCTTCTACTTTGTTGATCAGACACAGCATCCAGTGTGTCCTCCTCTCCTGAAGTCTCCTTTTCTCAAACACCATTTGCTTTGATTATTTGCTCCTCGTGTAGAGCAAAAGTTAGCCCATTCAAGGTCAATTAACATCCGAGTCTGTTGAAAGCTTTGCATGCTTTAGCATCTGTAATAACTTCCGCCTCTGTCTCACATTAAGTTTATGTGAAAAATTCTTAGTATTGCTAGGAGAGTTTTTAGTTTTCCTGTTTCCACTCATTTTGTAAAGAGCGAATTATGCAAATGGGAGCCACTTCAACAAAGCTGAACCTATTGTCTCATGGCAATCCCACATAAAGCAGATATAGAGGGAGTCTACTTATGGGTGGGAGTTAGCAGTCCTGATGAGTGAGCACAGACACCTGGGGCTGTCGGACTGGGAACACAGCAGTCGCATGCATTGCTGGACTCCCCTGCTCTCAAGAACATGAACCCTGTATTTACTTAAGATTATTGACATAAGACTCACTGAGTCCTAGGGACTCACCATTCACAATTCTTCCCCTCCCCCAAATGACCTGTTTCTTTCTTAGTACACTCCTGCCTCACGTCTTGCCTGGACTTCTGTCCATCTGCACTACCTCACTTACTCATCCATCCATTCTCCAAATCTGAAATTTTCTCTTTATCTCTTGTTCTTACGCAACTGTGAAGGTCAATCTCACTTCGACCATTCTTACAGCTTTTTAACATAGTTCTTGTGAAGGGTTCGTTCAGGGAGCTTAAAGGGTTGCACAGGAAAGCACAATATCCACACCAGTGGTGTTGTATTTTATTGAACGTTATGTGCACAATTGTCAGTGCCATGAGGCTGTTCTTTGATGACAGATGCCATGCCCCGAGCCAGTCTGGAGAGCGACTGTGACACTACATTCTGCAGTTAGCACTATTAATGTCTATTGATTTCCCCCATTTCATTTTTAATGATTTATTCTTCCAGATAAAGAAACTATGGAAAGCATTCTAACCACCTCGATTTCCTCCCCAGAGAGCAATAAATCATCCACCCCCCTCATAAGACAAGGGAAATAGAATTTCTGTGTGGAGCGCCTCATCTTCCTAGGTGCATGTGCAGGACATTAGCATTTGTTAAAACCATCAGATCTTTGGGAGCCAGGAGGTCTCATTGTGGGGGTGGCCAAACACTGTGTTGTTAATATCATGTCCATCTCAGATGAACTGTGCAGACATGGCTAGCTCCAAAAAACAGCTGCAGGTGGTAGCTCCTATAATGGGTCTTTAACAAATCTTCTACATGCTTTTCTGCCTTTTTTTCCCCTT